CAAATTATTAAAATGAGGCAAATTAAAATTAAAAATAAACTTTTATCTAATTTGCAAATAAATTATTGAAAGATTTATTGTAATCTTTAAATCAAGTAACTAACCATGCATTCCTTCTATGATTTATTTAACCATTAGGGTATAATATCAAGCCAAAGTCTTTACTAGCTTATAAATTAATAATAATGGGGAAAAACCAACAGAACCATTTAAAAATTTTATAAAAGGTTCTTAGCCTAAGTTCAGTAGAGGTCTCTATTAATATCAATGTGGAGAAACTACTATACAAATTTTGAACAGTGTCTTACTCCAAGCGTAGGTATAATTCACTGCATGACTTTTATGAACTGTAGATCTCTAATACATAAACTTAGGTCTCTTCCTTAGACTAGGCCTCATTCTGCTACTTAATAGCTGTGTGACCTTAGGCAAGTTCATTAAAGTCTTTGAGACTTTCTTGAGACTGACTTACTTTCTTTTCAGTAAAGTACAAAAAGTAAATATCTTACAAAATAGATGGGAGAATTAAATGAGGCAGTAGCTATAAAACATTTAAAATACTACTTCACTGATTCACTAAGTGGTAGCTTAATCCTATTCGGTATCTTCCGCCTCTTTACAAATCAATAGATACTATACAAACTGGTTTCATTTAAGTCAAGAGTTGGCAAGTTTTTTCCGTAAAGCTGTGGTCCCCATCCCCAATACTCCCACCCCATGCCCACCCCCACCTTGGACCAGTGGCCTGTTAGGAACCAGGCTGCAAAGCAGGAGGTGAGCAGCAGCAGATGAGACGCCTTCATCTGTATTTACAGCTGCTCCTCATGGCTCACATCACCAGATAAGCTCTACCTCCTGTCAGATCAGTGGTGGCTCTCGTAAGAGTGCCAACCCTACTATAAACTGTGCATGCTTAGGGATCCAGGTTGCGCACTCCTTATGAGAATCTAATGCCTGATGATCTGAGATGGAGGTGAGGCAATGATGCTAGCTCTGGGGAGTGGCTGCAAATACAGATTATCATTAGCATAAAGGTTTGACTGCACAATAAATGTAATGCGCTTGAATCATCACAAAACCATTCCCTGGCCCGTGGAAAAACTGTCTTCCATGAAACTGGTCCCTGGTGCCAAAAATGTTGGGGACCACTGCTGTAAAAGGCCAGGTGATAAATACTTTAGACTCTGCAGACCAACAAGGTTTTATTTAAACAATTTTATTTAATTTTAAATAAAATTAAAATCCATTCAAAATATACAATATGGTCTCTGTCACCGTACACTTTGTAACATACCTTTGTAACCCTTTACACCCTTTCAAAATGTAAAAGCCATTCTTATTCTTAGCTCAAGGGCCATAAAAAAATAAGCCCACAGGCTATAGGTTTTTGACCCATAATTTAAGTTGTCCTCTCATTCTGTTCACAACATATGATAAAGGAAAAACTGATAAACAAAAAGACATAGGTAATACATACCTTATCCTTCAATAAAATTTCGTAAGTTGTTAACAATATATTAAATTTTAATCGTTTGGTCTGGGGATGCATCCATTCATGAGTTCTTATCTAAAAAGAAATTTGAAGGACAATTTTAAGACAAACATTAGGCAAAGTATATTTTATCTTAAATATCTAAAATAAAATTAAAATCCATTCAAAATATACAAATAACTATGCATGTTTATGTAATAAAATAGTTAATTATTCATTATATAGTCCAATACACTATGCTGATCTTATCATAAATAGAATGTAAATACCAAGCACATGAAAATCTTCTGTTAAAAAAATGAAGTAAATACAATTTTAACACGCATCTTTCACTAAAAGTTCATTTAACAAAACAAGTGATTAATTCATTTAATAATATGACATTTATTGATGAAATATGATGTCTTGGGTTTGCTTCACAATGACTAGGAGGATAGAGTAGTGTGTACAGGTACAGACAAAATGAAACTGGCAATAAGTTAAAACTGTAAAACTGGAGATGGGAACATCATGGTTTATTATACTCCTCCTTCTGTCTGTTTTCACATATATTTGAAATTTTCCATTAAAAAGTTAAAAAAAAATACGAAGTAATACTAAACCAAAACTAATTTTTATTATAGTCCATTAAACATATATTTGGTACTTGTTTGTGGCGAGTTCTATGTCAGAAAGTAAGACTATAAAGACAGAAGAAAAATATTCATCCTCAAAGACAAGTATGTCTTGATTTCTAAATTTGTTGGTAAACAACTTACCATGTTTCTGCTGTTAATGTCACCTAAATAAACCACAGCATTCATTTGAGAAGCCCATGTTTGAATCTCCCTTTGCCAGGAAGTGAGAGTAGAGAGTGGTACTACTAATAGAAAAGGTCCATATAATTGATGTTCATGAAACAAATAGTTCAGAAATGAGATCGTCTGAATTGTTTTTCCAAGGCCCATTTCATCGGCAAGTATGCAACTATTTCCCCTACAAAGTTAAAAAAAAATGCATGCAATAAAAGATTCAAATATACAAAGAAACCTTTTTTATATCACACACATTTAAATGAAGCTAGATAAAATTAATCCAATAGGTATTATATAGAATACCATTTTTATTAGCTACAAATAATAAATGTAAAGGCATCTGGCTAAAAAGACTTAGTCACTAATAGTATAAGAAAAGTAAAAGGAGTTTATCATTTTAGGCCAAAAGAGGTTTAAATATTAATAGTATTATATTCAGTCAATTATGAAGCTGAGAATGCAGTTCATCTACATATATTAAATAAGTAAAAGGTATATAGGAAGAATGTGGGTAAAAACCACAGCTAAAATGCAACCTACAGAGTCACATACACTCTCACGAGTAGAGTGGGGCCATAGGAGAGAGGAAAAAAATTTAGAGGACTAAATGGGTATTAGAAATAACTAGGAAATATAAGAAATATTCCAGCAACAGTGGAGATGGGAATGTATACACATTGCGATTTTTAAGTTGAATAGAAACATATTTAAGAACTACAACAATCAAACAAGTTAAACTCAAACTCCACTGAATTTTCTTCCTAGTATATAGTAAGTATTGTTTACATAAACTAGGAAATACAAAGATCAGCATATATAAAATGCCAAAGGGTATCATCTTTTATGTTAACGAAAATCTTTTCTGAATCCTGTATTTGTAAAATTCTTACTGTCTCAAATTATATAGATGATTCAAAATATACTTACTTGCACCAAGAATGAGCAAGCCAATTTAAACCATTTAGTTGATAATCTCTTAATTCTAAACCCTCATGTCCTCCAATATAGGATGGTTGCTTCTTCAAGGCTACAAATCTTGGCCTTTGTTTTAATACCTTTAGTAGAAATAAATGTTAATATGTAGAATTATTAAACATAAAAATTATACTAAACAATGAAAATCTCAGTGTTCACTATAAATTTTGAAATTTCATCTAAAATCATCAAGCTCAGAGATTCCATGATTTAAAACACCTCTGAGGATTCAAAGAATACTGTTTTCTACTACTCTAACAAGAATGCACAGTGAAATACTGTGCCTTCTTTTTTTAAACCAAAATGACAGTGAAAATTAAAGTTCCTACCAAAATACGTGGGTCTCACTCATTTCACAAGCAAAGGCTATGTTAAATTTGTTCATAACCATTATTGCTCCATCCCCAAGCTAGAAATAAACCACAAAGCTGGCAGCTTCCCATTCAATTTCTGATTTCTAAATTACCATTATGAAGAATTTAATTCAATCTTGTGATAAGGAAAGAAATCCTAGTAGTACACAGACCCTAAAACTATCATAATAATTTTAGATAAACTATGAAGATTTTGAAAGTACTGTACATGGTAGTCATGGATACTTTCTTATGGCTATGTCCCTCTTCTCCTTCCCTGCCTTCAAAGAAAGTATCTGCTACCTTTTAAACTAAGCGTATCTCTGGTTTCCAAGGAATTTTCCCTACTTGGTCTCCCCAACCCACTCCTTACAATTACCCACCATCACCACCACTTTCTGACATCTTTAACATCTTTGTGACACAGTTCCACTCACCAAGGATAAAAGACAATGCCACCTTTAAGATCAAATAGTAATTATAGGAACCTCACTTCCTACAAGACCTATCAACCAAGTATTCTACCTTAGTCTATTTAAAATCAGGATCTAATTATCTTATTCAGGTTTGTAATATTTATTACGCATAGATACACTTTTAATTAAAAATATCAAACAATACTCACTTTGCAATCTTTAAAAGGAGTGGTTTTTGATTGGTTCCTGCTAAAATATTCATCAATGCACGCTTGAAATTTCTTGGAAATGAGAGCTCCATCTTCCCAGCTACATTCTGAGTATGGAAGGCCCTGCCATTTGCAATAATAATCAGGATAACCAGCCGCTGACTTTTGATTGGAATGAGCTGTGAGATAAACCAGGCATTTATTTATTTTTACATTTAATCTCAGAGACATAATTCTTAGTAAAAACTACACAAACAAAAATTATCATCTAGTTTACCCTACTCTAGTTTAGTAAGAGGAAGCAATGGAATTTGATGTGTAAGCAGTAAATTTATGACTTTTTTCAGATGATTTCAAGCATAAAAGAAGTTTAATGAGAATCAATTATTACTAACCAATTATACGTTCCACTATTTGATATTGTTTATGTAGATCATCCGTAAGTTCTTGCTGGCAATTATAATATTCCACATCTTCTGGAGAAGCATTTTTCAACCTGAAAAATTATTAATCCAGGAATACACTTCAAATTCTCCCATAAATAACCCATCCCCCTAAACACTGTCTATAGCACAAAATGTCTCATTTTGCCCTTTCCATGTGTGCCAAGTTTGAACAACGAAGAAATTGAAGCAGAAATAAAGCATCATTAATTTTTAACTTTAAAATGTGTAACATAATGGATGAGATACATTCAATGTGACTGTTATCAAGAAGAGGTTTAGATACAGCTACCCCTAAGAATTTTACCTTGAGATGGAAAACATTCATCCCTCAGTATCTGCTGGGGATTGGTTCCAGGATCACTTGCAGATACCAAAATCCATGGAGGCTCAAGTCCATTATATAAAATGGCATAGTATTTGCATTTAACCTATCCTTGGATATGCTTTAAATCATCTCCAGATATACTTCTAACATCTAATATCTAATATGGTATAAATGCTATTAAGTAGTTGATATACTATACTGCTTTTTTATTTGTATTATTTTTCATTGTCCCCCCCCCCCAATTATTTTCAGTTAGTAGTTGGTTGAATCCAAGGATGCAGAACCAGTGGATACAGAAGACCTACTATAAAGTCTATAAATAGTTATTTTAGGCTATCATTTAATTCTTCATTGTGTATTCATTATTAACAAAAAAGCTTAGTAATCTTTGAACTATAAAAATATAGTATGGTATAAAGCATATTTACCATCTTTTTGTTTCCTGATCTTTTTTCTTATAATTATCCAACTTTTTCATTCCTCTAACATTCTGCTGCTTAAGGGTTTCTTCAGTTTCCCAAGTGTTGTGAATATGTGACCATCCTTTCCATTTAATTAAATACTGGATCTCTCCTGGTTCCTTGTTTTTTTCAAACCCTGCATTTGGGTCACCATCTGCTTCAACTGCATAGATGGTTGTAGTAGCACCAGTAGCTGAAAACAAAAGCATAAGACCTTCCATGTAATTCTGGTGGAAGATTATTTTCTTTTAACCCCAAATTTTAAGAATATAAATACAAAAACATATAATCTCTTAAATAAGTAAAGTATCTGGCATTACAGAGACTTACGGAAAATTATATTACACATAGATAAAAGAAACTCAGAATTTTAAAGTTAAAGAATTCTCTCACTTACTTCACTCAGTTTTAAAATTAGAAACACAAAAAGGTCAAAAGACAGAGGTACACCTGAGATTGCAGTTAAAAGTGAAAATCTATAACTGGGAAACTGATAACCAGAAATTAAAATAAAAAATTACCTTGAAAAACTACATGCCAAGATAACTAAAAATCATGTACATATTGAAGATGAAAAGAAAAAAATTTCAAAAACCCAGGTTGTGAAATTGAAAGCACCTAAAAAGCAACTATTAGGTCATTAAATATGAAATGTCCGATTTCGAATCAAAGTGTAGTTTATCATATCTCAAACAAGAAGCAGTACAGTTAAGCAAAGTATGCACCTAAACTATCGACACAGTTTTGCCATCTTAATGGAAGCTTATTTATGCCAGCAGTGAAGAAGGCTAGAAAGTGAGCAGCGATGAAATCATGAAAGGTGTTTTCTGTAGCTTATTGAGAATTGAGTATTTTTCCTTACAGGAAGTGATCCAAAGCCTGGAAGAAGTGGTAGTCAGTTGGTACAAGGTCTGGTGAATAAGGAGAATGACAGAGAGTTTAGTTTCTAAGTCCATCCTCTGTAGTTTGAGCAGCATTGTGCGATGTAGTCAAGAGCTGTCTTGCAAGAAGATTGGCCTGTCTCTACTGACCAATCTCGGCTGCAAGCATCCTCATTATTTTGTCCAATTGGTTGCAGTATGTGCTGTAATCAACTGACCAGATTTCATTATGCTGTAGTGGATAATACCAGCGCTGAACCACCAGACACACATCATTAGCTTTTTTTCGGTTTTGTACTGTGTTTCAGCACTTCATCTTTATCCAACCATTGTGCTGAATGCTTGCGAATGTCAAAAAGAATTTATTTTTCATCACATGCAATGATATGGTGTAGAAATGGTTTGCCTTCATGTCGTGACAGCAAAGAAAGGCAAGCTTCAAGATGATTCCTCTTCTGATGCTTGTTTAATTCATGCGGAACCTCTCCATCCAGGTTCTTTACCTTGCCTATTTGTTTCAAATGGTCCAATATTGTTAGAACGTTAACGTCAAACCTTGCCGCTAATTCACGCGTAGGTTGAGATAGGTTCACTTCCACTACAGCTTTCAGCTCATCATTATCTACCTTGATCTCAGGGTGGCCATGTGGTTCATTTTCAAGATTAAAATCATCAGAACAGAACTTCTCAAACCATGGAGATACTATGTGTTCATTAGCCACATCCTCCCCCAACACTTCACTGATATTTCGAGCTCTCTCTGCTGCACTAGTTCCAAGGGGGAACTCATATTGGAAAATAACACGAGTTTCTGATTTATCTAGTTTTACAAAAATTGCTCTAAAAAATTTTTGAAAGATAAGCACAAGCCAAATGTGCATTTTAAAGACTGAGGATGTACCTTCACAATAAAAATAAAACATGAAGTGGCAAAGTAAAATGTCAGAGATATCAACTATCAAACTTGGCACTTAAGGAAATCGGACATTTCATACTTAACACATTAACTGCCATTAAGTTGTATTTAATTCAGGCTAGTTTTGAGCTCGGGGCCTCATAAAGCATATGTAACTCACACATCTCTTTACTTTGAGCTGAGTGAACTATTTTTCAAATTGCGTATAACTCATGCACAGAAAACAATAAAAAATAACAAATTTTACATTAAATTACAAAGGATCATTTTGTTTTTCAAGTTTTTGTTCTATTTTCATAATAAAACACTGTGGCCCCAAGGAAAAAAAATTTTGTTTCTAGCATGCAGTCAATCTGTTACTAACCTAATATTTAGGTATAACAACAGTAAAACCCAATACACAAGTCAGAAATTTTCTAACTATCCACAACATATAACAGGAAGCAGGTGGATATCTTCTGAAAAGAACATACCCAAGCTAAGCAAAGTGTATTTTTTTTTTTTTTTTT